TGTATTTCTCTCTGAATTCGCGTCACTTTTGGATTTCATCTCCAGCGCGACCCTGTTTTTTTCTCTCGTGGAGCTAGTTTCTCAACAGTTTTTTGTGACTTCAAATACACAGTTTTATACATCTGGGAGTAGCATCATTGTGATTCAAGTCCACTGTTTTCTACTTCTGGGAGTTTTATCACTGTGATTCAAGTCCACTGTTTTCTACTTCTGGGAGTTATATCGCTGTATTAACAAACAGTTCTTGCGATTATTCATCGGACTCTTACACGTCAGGACTTCTGACCAGGAAAAAACTTTTGCTCAGTTCTGGACTTGAGTGTGTACTTTATCAACTGTGACACGAAGTGCTGGATAGAGTAAGCGGCTGACAAGAAAATACGTACTGTGTGACTTTTTACGTGTATTTTTTGGGTGCAAGTGCTTGGTGTAGTTTGTGTTGGGTGCTACATCGTTCTGAGCTTCACTATGTCCACTATGATGAACCTTCACCCCGAGGTCTACGAGACCTACTCGGTCAGTGCAACAGAGGCGCTTGGTCTGAAAGAAGACAAGAAAGTAGCGAAAGGTGGTTCCTGCCAGGTCGTTGTAGCTACAGATGTGAACGACCCAGGTAAGAGAAAGGCTTTGAAAAAACTCATGTTTCTTGACGATGAATGTGATTACCGCAAAAAACGTTTCTATTTCTGCAATGAGATTCGATTTCTCCAAAACGTACAACACCCCAACATCATCCAAGTTGACAAAGCACTCGCATGTCCGGGAGAGTTTGTCATAGCGATGGAATACCACCCCATCGACCTCTATGGCGCTATGCCTTGTCTCACGGACGCAGAGATCACCAAGTACTTTACTCAGGTCGTCGACGCGTTGCTCTATCTCCACGACCGGCACATCGTTCACGGAGACGTCAAACTTGAAAACGTGTTGATAGACATGCAAGGAAACGCCAAATTATGCGACTTCGGTATGGCTCAGCTTATTCCCAACAAGAGTTCTAAACTTTGGGGCGGCACTCGTGCATACAACGGACCTGAGTACACCAGAGGTCAACCCGTGGAGGATGTTTTTCAACTAGAAAGCTTCTCGCTGGGAGTCTTTCTCTGTGCCTTGTCGCTCTACATATACCCACTCAAAGGCTTGGACTACTTGGAGTTACTGAGAGGTGCCGAGTCTGTGCCAGACATTCACAGAGTATGCGCTGAACGCCTCCTTTGTCCCTCACCGGCAGAGCGAGCCTCCATCTCGGAAATTCATCAACTACTCAACGATCACAGGCAGTCAGAGAGTCGCCCCCAGCTTGACGTCATCGACGAGTCTCCCGCCCCTGTCGTGTCTGTGCCAAAACGTCGTAAACGCTCTCACGTCAAAGAAGAATACAGAAATCTTCATTCCAGAGGGAAAGCTCTGAAACTGAAGACAAAATCGTGTGTTGACTCGAGAACCAGCCTGACACCAATGTTCCTCACTCCCAACAGTTGTAAACACTTTGTATCTTCTTAGACATTCGGATAGCAATGTGAAAACTCGTCTACACCCTGATCGTCTACCCCCCAACGATCGTCACCCACACGTCCGTTGTGGACATTTTCGCTTGTGACTGTTTCAAGCAAGATGCAGGGGGTCGCTGCTTCTGTCAAGCAAGATCTGAAACCGGCGAGTTTGGGTATTAGAATTTGCTGATGTCTAAGTCCCTGTTGTATGTAGTAGATGTCTATACGATTCATCTTAGGTAGATGATAATTTTTAAAGTATTTGTTTAATTTTTCTTTTTTCGTTTATTCTATTTTGATTTCATTTTGTTCTATTTTATTTTATTTTATCTTGATTTCTTTATTTCTTTCTTTCTTTCTTTCTTTTTTTTGGAGGGGGGTTATTATCTAATCGAAACCTGGAGGTTTTTTTTTACAGGCCTTGGTGTACCAACGTATTGTTTTATCGTTAATGACGACCATGAGTGGTGTCGATAGGGGTGTTAAACCTATTATAATACTATTCTTGCTAACTTACGCAAACTGTAGACCATGAATAGTGTTGATAAGGGAGTTAAATCCACATTGTTCTACATGTACAAGTACTAACCTACGTGGGCCGTGAGCGGGTGGAAAGAGTGGATTCTACAGTCTACCTGAGCGGGTGGAAAGAGTGGATTTTACAGTCTACCTGAGCGGGTGAAAAGAGTGGATTTTACAGTCTACCTGAGCGAGTGAAAAGAGTGGATTTTACAGTCTACGTGAGCGGGTGAAAAGAGTGGATTTTACAGCCTACGTGAGCGGGTGGAAAGAGTGGATTTTACAGCCTACGTGAGCGGGTGAAAAGAGTGGATTTTACAGTCTACGTGAGTGGGTGGAAAGAGTGGATTTTACAGTCTACCTGAGCGGGTGGAAAGAGTGGATTTTACAGTCTACCTGAGCGGGTGGAAAGAGTGGATTTTACAGTCTACCTTAGCGGGTGGAAAGAGTGGATTTTACAGTCTACCTGAGCGGGTGGAAAGAGTGGATTTTACAGTCTACGTGAGCGGGTGGAAAGAGTGGATTTTACAGTCTACCTGAGCGGGTGGAAAGAGTGGATTTTACAGCCTACGTGACCGGGCGGAAAGAGTGGATTTTACAGCCTACGTGAGCGGGTGGAAGGAGTGGATTTTACAGCCTACGGAACGAGGATTGTAGACTTCTAAAATTTCTCTTCTTCACTTACTACTGACTACACGACATAGGTTGCTGTTTGTTTTGTTGCTGATAGTAATAGTAATAGTGTGCTTTATTTACTTTGAAATGGACGTTAACTTTTGTTCGTGCATTTTTAAAAATTCTGCTTTTCTGAGTGGGTTTTTTTTTTCTCTTACCATTGACCTACTTGTCCTTGTTCACATAATTTGGACAGGAACAATATTATTGTTCATCTTCTTGCAAAAATAAAACATTCTTTGAGAATGCAACTTTTAATGGCTTTTGACTATTTCGTGCCGCAT